CGCTTTAATCAAATGTAATATCAATTTCCGACAACAAACGGGAAACAGCTCTTCACAGTCCAGGTATTTAAAGCGACATCAACCTCTCCTGGCGTGACAGTATTGTCGAGAATATATAATTCTAAGGGAAGATTCGGTTTTGTCTACATGTTCAGCCCAAATCGCTTATTCGACGTGGAAACCATGCGAGCTAGGCACTGATTTAAGTAATTTGGCAGACATTTAATGCATGGCCCATATACTAAACGTAAAGCGCACTTACTTCTACCATTTGGCATGACAGTTTCTTGGAGGATCTTTGCATAGTTAGGATCTTCGTCCTCCACAAACTTTTGGTACCCAGGGTAGTCCTTGCCAGGATCGTACCAACCAGCTCGATAGAACAGGTGAAAAAGGGCACCACCGAACAGCCAGCAGTCTCTGTACAGGGAAACGTCTATATCGCTATGAATAATAGCCGGTGAACTCCACTCGAACTTACGCAATATTTCCATCATAAATTCGGCCATTTTTAAAAAGGGACCGTGAGCTCGTGTCAAAGTGCGGAAATCGGCCATATCTTTCATCGCGAATTCCTTTGCTTTAGCGCCAGCCGTCAGAAAAGGTATATCCCAGTGAGCGGCGAATCTGGCGACGGCTGCGGCGGCATAGTCACACGCTGGTCCTAGAAATACGTCTACTTGTTTTTCCGTGATGAACTCTACGGCACGAATTGGAGCAACGGCGTTAGAACATCCAGAGTCCACTTTCCTAATTGTCATGGTCACATTCCGTCCACCGAAAAAATGTTCCACCATCATCAACTTTTCAACAGCGATGTCGATCGCGGGACACGCCATTTCAAACCTGTATGGATACTGTCGTATTTCTGGTGGTTCGTCGGTGTCTTTCGGAAGGATGACGGCGATTTGTATTCGAATTATGCCAATTTCATTACTTTCCATCGAATCGTTGTACACATATTCATATTGAAAACACACAATAATAAAAACTAGCATACCGTACGATACGCCGTGGTTCATGGTGAAACCGACGCAATAATATAAAGAAAGTCATCCGAAATGCATATTGTCATAAATATTTGGTCATGCGATGAGCGACAATTATACGTAGGGCGTGCCCGTTATAACTGCATGTTTTCCAGCCGTATGTGATCCTACCTGCAGGCGGTGACTACAGGAACACTGTGCGCGGAAATCTAACCAACTCCCGAACGCATTGGCACGGGACACTTGAGCAGACCGAGATGGCTGAGCCACTGCCGATATCGTACTGATCGATGAGACGCAGCATAAACAGCGTACACAACTACGGAACGGACGAGACGGTAACATTCACATGCTGTGCTGTCCGCATACAGTGTTTCACCTCAGTGGTGATCGGTTATACCTCAGTAAATGCATCAGCTAACACAATGAATTGGTCGGTAAATTTGAACGAACAATCAACTCCAGTACTATGTACGCATGCGCAAAAGCGATGACAACAAATAGGTGTAAAACAGCCGTCCACTCCCAACGTTATCGCAAATATGTTGCGTGGCACTTTAATTAAAGACAACACGTCAAAGCGAAATGGTTCCTGATTCGTATTGTCTTTACAATTATAGTTGAGTGTGATTACATTTCCCGACGTTAGTTGTGATGTACTAGTATTCAAACTTCAACTCCGCCAAACTGAAAATTGAGTTGTACGAATATGAAATAGTTCACGATGAAAAGCCGACTTCGGCTTAAACATCCATGGCCTGAATGTGCAATTAATATGCAGTGTTTGACACGACAGCAAGGAAACTCTTTTCATGAAAAAAAGTCAGTGACCTCCGAATGCCGCGAATTCAACTGTTGCTTGACAATTTACTATTCGATATAACGCCCGCATATGGCCAAACATGAAATTTAAATGACTCACGTTTTCTCGTGAGGTCCTCTTGGAGCTTTGAGTTGCGCATAATGTGTCAACGCCAGAAACTTCCTGTTACATGTATGCTGACAATTATTATATCTGGGAATTAGTTAAAATATATTATATTGTATTTTACATATATTATATCAAGGAAGTGTCTGACATATATTATATTGAAAATATTTGATATATATAATAGTGAAGAAGTATTTTACATATATAATATCGAGGAAGAATATGGATATTATATCGGGGAAGTATCTGACATATATAATATTGAAAAAGTATTTTATATTTTATATCAAAGGAGTATTTGACATATATATATCGAGGAAAAATATGGCATATATTATATCGAAGAAGTATCTGACATATATAATATTGAAAAAGTATTTTTCATATTTTATATCAAGGGAGTATCTGACATATATTATATCGAGGAAGAATATGGCATATATTATATCGGGGAAGTATCTGACATATATAATATTGAAAAAGTATTTTACATATATTATATCAAAGGAGTATTTGACATATATCGAGGAAGTATCTAACATTTGTTATATCGTAAAATAAACTGACATATATTATATTCTTATATATCAGCAGCTGTTATATAATGATTACATTATCATATAACGTACAGCTATGGCAGAATATCTTTGAAATTCAAGACTCGCCAAAATCCGGGTGATTTGAATAAACATGTACATCGCCCTCTGTCGACAAGATTAAAAAAAACTAAAGTACAGTGGAGACAGTGCGACTCTTTTAAGCGCCACCAACTGTATGATTATTAACGTTTAATACAGAGACCGCATTATACAGAGGGCGACGCTTATAATTAGTAGTCAATCAAAGATTAACTCTTTCTGTGTTCCGTGATTGTTAATCTCTTTCAATTTTGTATCAGGCGCACGCTGATCTCGTAAATATTCAGCATATGGGTCATTGACCTGTTTTCGGATCATGACGAAGCCTCATAATCAGCCACAATTGGCGATGTTACTCCCGATCACCCGTCTCTAAGCGACGGTATCTCAGAACAACCGACGACATCAACTGAAATTGACTTTACAAATACAGGCAAATGCAAACGAAATATAGGTATAGTTAGGTAGTATTGCTTTTTTAGACAACCTTATCGGAAGCGTTTCCTTGGTTACGATTGATTCCTTCCTGTTGGACGAGCTGCTATTGTGCAGTGGTCACAGCGATTATCAAGTATGATCGGTTATCATGTTCGCCAATCACTAACCGTGGTAAGTATGTGCGCGCAGCTACCGGAGTACTGCATTCTTAAAGCTTGTTAAGTATCAAAAGAATATTCGGACAACAAATATTTGTCTTCGGTTCAAAATCGCATGGCTCGTTTCAATAACTCGCACTACATCTGGCATAAGGAAGGTATTACCGGTTTGTCGCCACTGTGCTATACGACGATGACGCAATACCATCTTTAGACATAAATTTATGTTGTCAGCGCGCCGCATTCGCCGGGAAGATACACAGTCGTCAAACAAAGCCACTGGCGTCAAGAAGCGCGCCACGCTCACCACAGTCAAAGCGCAGTGCGCTGCGGGCGTCACGCAGCGCGCCACAGTCGTCCTCAGCTCGCGTTAAAATTTTGTATAATCAATGTATTTTACAAGTAGTGTTGGACCCGTTTCGAACACGGTTAGGCATGTTTATTTCCGATTGTTATCTACTAGTATCTCACGTGATCTGCTGTTACGTGGACATGTCATGCAAATAAGAATGGCAGATGTGTCGCGTTCAGGTGGCGTGAATGGATGAGTGTACATGGTTGGGGAATGTTTTATCTTAACTCAATAATCTATATAATCATTTCATCCCACAAAGACGTAGATGTCTGCTGTGATTTTTGTCTTTCGTTGTTTTGTGCATACTAAGTGACATAGCGGAAAACTCCACAACAATGCACCGTTTGCAGAATGTCAACGAATACTTGTAACACAGGTCATCAAGAAACTCTCAATTCTTGAGCTGACATTAAAATAATACGAGGCGTTTTATATCCACTTGTAGATACTTTGTAGAATTATGTAGATGTTTAGATTGTGTGTTTGGTCAATTTATGATAGGGTTGAGTGCAAGTGTAATGATCTAATAATCACTACATTAACTCTCACAACACTTGGATTAAACACGTGCTGTGCAGCTCGATGATATAGGCCTTGTCAGCTATGCCATCAGCTAATAATGGTGACCGGACGAATTTGGCAATCAAGATTGGTGTTCATGCTATAAGAAATGCTTTAAAAAAAATTTGAATAAGAGCAAATAGAAAAACAAAATATTTCTCAAGAAATATTCTACCCCCCCCCCCTCCTAATGATGGGCGGACGCGTAAAAACAATTGTACCACACATAATATTATGGAATAGCAGAATTCACCAGAACACCCCAGCAGTTAATAACGAGTAGATAAACAACTTCTAAGAATTGGAAGTGTGCATTGTGAATAGTCTACATTTTTTATCGTTCGAGTATTCGGTGTATTCGAAATTCACAGAACACGCTGCACGTTATATTGGACATAACACAGATTTATGGAGTTCGCGACAGATTAGAGAATTGTTGCACGCATAAACCCGCATAAACCAAGAAAGCGTTCTTTTTCCGTGTGTTTTTTACATAGTGCATATGACAAGCCAAATCACTTATAAAGCCCTCGCAAAGTACACATCGATAAACCACTATCATACAAATCGGACTCGACACAATCTGTCACCCAAACTGATGCAGTGACGTCATAATATATCTTCTAGATAGTAGCGGATGAATCAACAATATCCGCGTCACACAGACTGTCAATACGATGGAATTCTCCCAAATCAGAACTTAATATTAACACGGAGATGACAAATCGGCACTGACACTTATTCGGATTGTAACTTTTATAATAATATTTTCCTTTCCGGTGAGGAAAAACACCAGTATTTCAGTAACAACAATTTATATTTCAATAACTCATTATGCACACTTTGAAATTAATAGTATGATATAGTCGTTTATGTCATGACTGTTTCATCCATTTATCAACTTCACAGAACATATGATTCACACAGCGTGGTAATTATAAATTGTGTTATTTATTTTATTATAGTACAGTATCTTTCAGTGAATTGCGAAATTTTGTATTATACAGCGGTGGTCTCCGCGACGCGTCATTTTCCTATGGGTCCCACGTGTGCCGAGCCACGACCG